TAGGAGAAAAGCCTCGCATATACAAACGGATTTTAAAAAATTATTCAACTTAAATTTAAGAAACAAAGTTCTATTATATAAGTGATAATACACGATCAGCACGAAATACGACAAATTTGGCGAACTTTTGGCGAAAATCCGTGAGGTCGTCAGCAAGCGCTTGTCCTTCAAAAGCCACATGTGTCACGGGTGACATCGGTTACCTTCTGTGTCTTTGTTCACAGTTGATCTACTGATTGTCTGTCACCGATCTGAAACAGGACACTAAACTTACGTAGTTTTTTTTAATACGGATAATACGAGTGAAAGTGCATCTTGTCATTCAGAGTAATATTATTGGTCTTCTGGGATAGTCACTGGTGTCAACCCATAGGTCATTAGGATGAAACGAGGCAGTGAATTTAAATAAATTAGTAAAATTAAATTAAGAATACCAGGACAGTCAGTGCCTTCAAGTCACCAGTGGTACAAACAATTACAGATTGATTAAGTTTGAAATAATAAAGATCATGATTTGTCAAATGATAATTCTTAAGCTATTTGAGAATTATCATTTCACAAAGCATGATCAAATGATAATTCTTAAGCTCTGTCAAATGATTATTCTTAACCTATTTTAATTTCCTCTCAAATAGCTAAACTGGCTATTTGAGAAGAAATTAAAAATCTTAACTTCTGCGTATCTCTTACCATGTCGGTAAAGTTACTTTACCATGATAAATACACGGTACATTAACTGTAACTTTATGTAATGCAAAAGTCCAAAAGTTTTAGAAACTTCAGTAGAATGTTTCTAACCTCAAAATTAAAGTAAAAAGTGTACGGTTGTAGAGACATTAGGTATTTTTTTGGAAGCAAGAGAAGGAAAAAATTAGCAACCGCCTTCGCCGGGAATCGAACCACGGACCTCTGGAATACCGGCTCAGCGTGCAGAACCACTACACCACGAAGGCAAGCCAAGAAGGTGGAAGAAATACCTTATATACTCCTCCTTTTAAAGAACGACTGGAATTTTTAGGAAACCCAATCGCTAAATCCTGAGTGGGGAGAAATCACCATCCACCACCCTTATAGTTCGGTCGCCACTGTAAAGATATTAGGTTTATTTGGATGCAGGCAAAATGAAAAATTAGCAACCGCTTTCGCCGGGAATCGAACCACGGACCTCCGGAATACCGGCCCAGCGTGCAGAACCATTATACCACGAAGGCAAGCCAAGAAGGTGGAAGAAATACCTTATATACTCCTCCTTTTAAAGAACGACTGGAATTTTTAGGAAACCCAATCGCTAAATCCTGAGTGGGGAGAAATCACCATCCACCACCCTTTTAGTTCGGTCGCCACTGTAAAGACATTAGGTTTATTTGGATGCAGGCAAAATGAAAAATTAGCAACCGCCTTCGCCGGGAATCGAACCACGGACCTCCGGAATACCGGCCCAGCGTGCAGAACCATTATACCACGAAGGCAAGCCAAGAAGGTGGAAGAAATACCTTATATACTCCTCCTTTTAAAGAAAGACTGGGATTTTTAGGAAACCCAATCGCTAAATCCTGAGTGGGGAGAAATCACCATCCACCACCCTTTTAGTTCGGTCGCCACTGTAAAGACATTAGGTTTATTTGGATGCAGGCAAAATGAAAAATTAGCAACCGCCTTCGCCGGGAATCGAACCACGGACCTCTGGAATACCGACCCAGCGTGCACACCACGAAGGCACGCCAAGAAGCTGGGAGAAATACCTTATACGGTTTCCGTTAGTTCACTAACTAGTTATTTTAATTTTGGTATCTTTTCTGAATTCTCTTATTTCCGCTCGCATTTAAGTAGGTAAACGAAAGTATTTAAACGGGGGAAACGGAAAGGTTAAGAAAGAGCGTGATTTCGCTTCTGTAGTTCACGTTTGGAATATTTTCCTCCAGATGTTAATCTTAGTAGCGGCTACGTATTCTGGCCGTTTAATTAGTCTATCGCCGGTGTAGGCTTCTGAGTCAGCCTATTAGATTAAATTAAACTGTGTAGTCTAGAACTACGTCTTCCTTTTTGAATTTATTGTTAGATTATCTTTAAGTTCTCTCCGCAAGTAGTTAGTGCTTTTGTAAGCACGAAATCCGCGCTTTTCTGTTAAAGAGTTGGGATAAATAGAATGCACATTTTGCATCCTTTTCTTGTTACATTCATCTTCACGCCTGTGCGAGAATTCGCCAGGTTGAACTTTCAGATCTAGACGCATTGCATGATAGCTAAGAAAGATCTTATAAAGACACCAGTGAAATTTTAAGTTTTATCGGTCGGTTCGTTAGTTATAGGCGACTAATGAGTTAATAGTTATTGGTGGCTATCCTATAAGTTGACGCTGTGACATGGCACAATAAAAGAATTTATTAAAATAAAATTTAACCGAAGGTCATTGATGGCCATCATAATAGTTGGTCACCGGCATGGGACAGTACAATAAATTTAGCCAGGATATTAAAATCGAAAAAAAAAAGTTATTGAATCGAAAATCACTCTTCTCCTGTTAGGTAGTTTCTCTTGTAACCTCTTGGCTGATTGCGCTGAATGTCAATGCGTAGGTGATTTTGAGGAACGTTGCAGTAAATTTAAAAAGGATTTTTAAATGAAATTAAAACGAAAACACAGTGACTGTCAAAACTGTTGGTCAGTGGTGACCCATGTGTTGACGGTCATTGGATTCCATGCAACAGGTCACCGATATGAAATAAACACTGTAAACTAACAGAGAATTTGAAGATAAAATTAAGAGAAAGGCGCTGATACCGATCTGTAGTCTGTTACTTCAAAATGTGCTCTTGAAGGAAATAATAACCCCTCACATTTATTTACGATTGTACCATTTTTTGTCATTATAGCACAAGGAGGATTAGGAAATTTTACCAAATTAGTGGATTCCGCCCTTTTTTGCAGCAGCAGCAGCAGTCGTTAATGTGGTTACAAGTTAAGCCAGATGGAAAAAATGACGTTGCATTGCTTGTTCTAAACGGACTATAGACGAGGTTCTAAACGGACTATGACATGCAAATTTACAGTCATTATTTCACCGGCAACCTACAGCCTGACTATGGAGCAGTTTGAAAATTTAGATAGATTATTAAAACAGAAAAGAAAGTTATCAATGACTGTCAAGAACATCGGTCATCGATGACCTGTCGTCTGACCGTCACTGATATATGATAGTGAAATTTTTTGCGCAGTTGGACTTAGCGCCTTTATAGTATTTCCATAGTAGTGAAGTAATATAGCACAGCTCTTCGAAAGTTTTGGGAAGATATCGCGAAGTACATTTTTAACATCAATGAAATAAAAGATTTAAGTATGTTTATTGTATTTAAATACTTCAATGTGTTAAGCAGAGCAATTAAATTATTGAAAATGCACTAAAAACTTTATCACATGAAGGATTTGCCTAACTGAATTATAAAATATTAATTTCTTTTTATAAATTTATATAATGAAATTAATTAAAACTATGCAAAGATTTAACGTAAAATTTATATATTGAAACACTTGGTAACCACACTTCCAGGTCTAGAGTTAATTTCTATTTTTTTTTCTTTAGAAGGAAGTTGACGTACAATCGACATTTTTAATATTTTTGGTGTTGTTTAAAACATTTATTTAACATCTGAAGAATGTATTTTTAATACTCTAAACTCAAACTGGAGTCCTAAAATTCATGCTTGAGTCATCATCATATTTCATCATCAAATTCATGCTTGAGTGAAACAGTTCGGAAACAGGAATTAACGTCTGAAGTGGACAGTTTCACAGAGCAAGAAGGCAAAGTATATGCCCCTTGCATTGCAGATTAAGATTGCATAGCACTGTGTCTTCTTAATCATTAGAGTGCTACTTTTTCCTAGGGCCCACCAGCGACCGAGCGGTAGAGTCGCTGAATTTTGGTAGTTCGATCTAGGCTGGACATCCCGGTCAACGGACTGACTGCATGGGAGTTTTCGTGGTTTTCCTCGTGTGTAATGTGTATACGAGCCAGTTTTTCAAGTCTTCCGCGAAGTTATCCCTCTTCTTAAGCAGATAGCCTTTGAGTGTTTTGACATAATTACACAAACTATTTTTTCGCACGGAAAGCTTGAAATGTGTTTTCTCAAAAGACATTTTTTTTGCGCACGTTGTAGCTCAAAAATTAATATGCTGATTGACTTCAAATTTCCTACTGGTATTCTTTAATTTATTGGCCATATCTTAAACCTAAAATAACATCAAAAAACCAATAATATATACTGTTTATAACAACTTGTTTATAAAAAAATAAAACGGATGTTTTTCAGAAGTGTCCAGAATTTGTTAGGTTTTACAGGTTTTTCCTTAAATTAAACCTCAAGATCTGCCCAGCATCATATTTTAACGGAAAAAGTTTGGATTTTTGATTTCAGATAATTAGAACGACCTCTAATCTGCACCGCGAAAAAGGAGTGTCAGTTTTTGTAGCTATAGCGTCGCTATTTTGAATTTTTATGACAGACCAAAAAAAAAAGTGTCAACTTTTGCAGCTAGCGCCGTTATTTTGTATTTTTATGACACAAAATATTATAGTATTTATGGCTTTTATTGTGAGTATTACGATGTTCTTTAGCAAAATTTAACAAAACTTTTCAATTTCTAAAAATAAATTCGTAGAAAAAGTGCTATTTACATAACCCTCTATCCTTAAATAAGCAATAGGCATTGTATTTTTACACGCATTTCTTGAGCACATTCATTTTTTCGAGAGCCAGTCTACCGTGTAAAAACAAAACTGGGCGGGCATAGCGCAACTATCGTGCTTCTTTCTCTTTCTTAGTAGGTGTGTGATAGAATTAAAAAGCTGTATTTCCACGAAAACAAGTGCGATTCATATTGTCGAGAACGAAATAGTTTATATGATTAATGTTCTTTTGTGAAAAGAGAATCTGAAAGAAGTTTTCCTTAAAATAAACGCAGCTTCTGAATTTAGTGGCAGGTTTCATGAGCGTTTTAGCGCAACGGATTTTCTTTTTCTATGGGTTTATTACTTGATTTTGGTTAGCAGAATAGTTTTCTATTGTTAAGTTAACTAGGAATGATGCCATATAGAGGCTTTATGCTGGATACGGTTGTGGATAGCCATGCTGAAAGTAAATATTTTTATTAACATCTCTTGCTATATATTTGATCTCATGCAGTTATTCTGCAAACGGAATGCGCAGAAGTTTTCTAGGAGTCTAAGTTGGTGATTTTTAAAACTTATTTTGAATTATTATATTTTTAATGAAAGAATTGTAAACTTCGCTCTTAGCGGAAGGTAAGCGCACGAAGAATATTGAACTATTTGGACACTAATAAGATAATAAAAATTTAGCGAATAAGTGTCAAAAGTTTTTTGAATTACTTTAAACTTCTCATAAGCAATAGGATTCTTTGTGCTTGCTGTTATGATGATTATTTTAATCGCGATTCTATTTTGTGTTTAAGTTTAATTAAAATTTCGGTCCAATATTATAATTTGGAAATTAATATTTTAACATAAGCTTTGTGGATTCTTTATGATTGATTTCGTTATGATACTTAAAATACTAATAGAAGTATTATCTTATTTAATATATAATATTTGACGATTTTATACTAATTTTGATAGTACAGAAGTTCATGGATCCTTGAATCTAGCATCGAAATTAATTTTTACATTTGTTTAATAGTCTTGTCTACAGAATGAGAACTATGATATCTCTTCATCAAAAGTATCGAATATTTCTTTGTTGATATTAACTCCAACAATTCAGAACTGTGAGGCAGTTATTAAAGTTTAAATCTGTATTTCTATGATGCACTTTAAGTGCAATTATATGTTTATACTAACAAAACACTGATTTTTTTTCCATGACCGTTTAAAAATTTAGAATAGCAATAATAACTTTTGTTATTGTTCTGAAGATTAATTCTGTTATATTGAATGTTTGAGAATTTCCGAAATAGTTCTGGTCTAGGTAAATTTAGATCAATGATACTGTAATTTAATTTGCGTTTTTTTTAAACATCACCATGAATATTTTAATTACCTACTATTTTATTTTTCACGTGGAATGAAAATTACTCCTTCTTTTTTAATTAGACTGTAATGATAAATTATTGCTTGGCTATCAATTCGTAATACAAAAATATTATTCCACCATATGTGTTCATTTCTTCCTTATAAATGTTTACTTCTGATAGCGTAGTGCGTTAAAGCATAAGAAACAAGTGACAACTTTACTATGTCCACTTCCATGTAGAGTTACTCAATGTATTGTTTAATTATCGTTGAATTTATTCATAATCTTATCAAACGTATCGAATTTCGGTGTCCTTTTTGTCGAATTACGTAGAATTAAAACATTTAGTATTTTAAACATTCATTATTAGCAGCGACAAAATAATGTGCAGTTATTTTGAAATGAAAAAAACTATAGCAATGCCGCACATCTTTCTAATAAAGCAGATAAGTAAATGCAGCATTTATGACGTTTGTTTGCTTGTCAGCTCTGAAGTTGTAAGGATCCTAAGTTTTACTAACGTCTATTTTATTTTAAATCTTTACTATCACTTCTTATTTTCTACTTCCGGCCAGAATTAAAAGCTTTAACTTATTTATACAAATTTGTCTTGTTAACGCCAAGTACTTAAGTTGTGGCCTTTTGCCAAGCAAGATAGAGGAAGGAGTTATTGGAAGCAAGCCGCTTGCCATTTTAGTGTTACGAGTTTTCACTCGGTTACTGGTTGCCTTCAAGGCCAGAGGTTTAGTCCTCTTGATAATTTCAAACGTATCGTAGTTTTAGCAGCTCTCTGTACTACATATGGACTTTGTTAAATAACGGCCAATCTTATTGCTAGGCACTTGTATATTAATCCAAAGTTAGTTTTAGTTAGAAGTTTTATATTCTTACGTTCAGACCACAAGTGGTTGGTCTCTGTATTCCGAAGTTCCGGAAATCTCTGTAAAGATAGAAAAATAAAGGGTTTCGTATACCCTTCCTGTGTGTGTTGTCTACTTCACAATTTATTGAACATAGCTTGAGTAAGCTCCCTGTTCCGAGGCAGGACAGTTCATGTTTCCAAAGCAAGTCAAGAGGAACACAAGTCCTGATAAAGTGTCCTACGAAGTATTCCTAAAAAATATCATATTTTGATAAATGATTTCTTATTGTAATTATAAGTACGTTGAGGAATTTCTCGGGCAATTAGTATTGTATGCTCGAAAGTATAAATCGCGTTAAAAACTTGTAAAATAACAGTTCAAAAAATGAAAGCGTTTCTTAAAAATAAACGTTTTTCTAAACAATGGTAAAATGACAAAACACTCATTTCCTGATATCTATTTCAGTTTGAAAACAAACTTTAGTTTTTGACATAACAGGTTTCTATATAATATTAGAAAATACGGAAAAAATGGGAGAAAGGGGAACTTCGAAAATAGCATAATTTGGATACATAAAATGCTCCTTTATATATTATAAAATGTTTAAACCGTATTTTGTTAATTGTTATAAGTGTTATACACTTGTAGAAACTCATTCATCGGAGATGCTATAAAATGTAAAGCTTAGTAAAAGAGAAACAAAAATTCCCACCGAGAATACAAGTAGAAGAAAATTTACAAATATATTATCATTTTATGTAATATGCAGTAAAGTATTAACACAGATATTGTTAAATAATAAGTAAATTTCAGTGAATAAGGTAGGAAATATCCATGTGCAATATCCTTTATTATTTATTAATTTGCAATTATTTATTTAAATATACTGCTAATAAACGTTACATTTTTAACAAATGTAAAAGTTCGAGTTTTTGCATCTCTTGCAGCTAGTTCGTACTCATTTAGCGAGAAACTTTTACATCTAATGCTGCTTAAATTTATGTATATGTTTTAATGGTTGCTTGTATTACTGTACATGTTTTACTATTTACTAAAAATAGTTTAAACAGCAATTTGCACCTAATATCTGTTTCTTCAAATTGAAAGGTTGCTCTTATTGCATGCTGTTCTTTTTCGAAAGATCTAAACATACTTTTGAGCTATGTATATCTTGACGGTTTATTGTAGTAGAATTAATTTTCTGTATTAAATTACTTTTTAATATTTATAAAAGTGTAATATAGAGCCATTAGGTTATTTTTAATGCAGGAGACGTTCAAAATGTGTAGTGCTTTCGCCGGAACTCGAATACGCGCCGAGTGCGTTACCGTTACATCTGTTAAGGTCTTCTGGAAGGAGGGAGAAAATACCTTATAGCAGAAAATGGTATACATGTCGCAAATAAAGACTATATTAGCTCAAAAAAGTACCCTTAAAGTGCATTTAAATATACTGTTATGAAGCTTTATTTGTTGGTTTAATGAAGTAAAATCGTGAACTGATTAAAATATAACCTCGTTTGACATAAGGAACACAAAGAAATCAATAAGTTGTGTAGCCACCATGGCTGGAAATAATTGTTGCGACATATTTCAGCATTGAAAGGAAGAAGCTTTGCATGTGTGCTTGAAACATATTAGTTTATGAAGATGTTTTGTAGAAGTTCATGTAAAATAGTCACAGAAGGTATACAATGGCCTACGTTTTCGTCAGCCATTGACCAGTCGTGCTTGTATTGCAATATATCGTGAGAAGGGCGACCTAACAAACTATGAAAATTGCTGTTGAACTCCAATGTCCATTGTTCCGTTGAAACTCGGTCTCAAGCAATCTCTGCATATAGGGAAAAACAGAATGTTCTAAAACTTCATAAAGGTAACAGTGGTTGTTGGATGGGATGGCCATATGTGTTAGGTGAATGCGGGAATAAATTTAGTGGCACGGTAAACCATCCATAACTCCAGGTGTCCGACCGATATGACGATGTGACGACCGAATGTAAAATGTTTGATATTTGTAACCTCGATGCTGCCAGACTTGAGTACGACTATCGACAGATAATAGATGAAATAGAAATACGTCTGAAAAACCCGTTTGTGGTATTCGTTTGTCCATGCCTAGTGTTCGATTATGTGTCAAATGCACCACGTACGCCTCAGATGTTGAGTCAACGGTAAAGGCAAAAGTGGAGGCCTACCTTCTGCAGACAGCTAATTCTCTCTTCTGCAGACAACGTCGAATAGTACGTATTAACACAGGTTGTTGTGCAACAAATAATTCTTGTGCTGTAGTTCTTGATGTTGCTGTGGGATCCGTTACTGCCATGTGCACGGTATGCCTGTTCTCTCATACTGTGCTCTGATAAAGTTGTTTTTCATTTCGTTGAAATTTGACGTTATGAGTTGACATGCTTTGAATGCTTTTTTATTTGAAATAGCACTAAATAAAGTTGCAATTCTAGTTATCTTGTATTGTTTATATTAGTTATTCAATTGCTTTTTTATGTAACTGTTCTGACTTTATTGGGTTTTCTACAGAGTTTATACACGCAGTGTTTATGGACCTGTTCATTCTTTGGTTTTAATTTCCATTTTAGGCTTAAAATGGTTATTTTTTTCCATGTAATATTTATATTAAAGATGGTTATTTCGTTTATTGTTTAGATTTATTATCTCTTTATCAAATTTAAGAAAAAATTATGACAGTTTTGTTTTTGCTTTAAGTATATGGTTATATAATTTTGTAAGCTTTTATTTTTATTTTTTTACAGACGACTGCTTTTTATAAGGAAATATGTTCTTCATCAATGATGCATGCTATAAAAGTCAATTATGAATTCCTGAAATTGAAAAATAATTAGATTGTATTTTGAAAGTTAATATTTTTATTCTCTGATGAAAATTTCTTTCTTAGTATTGAAACATATCTAAGTCCTCCCAATTTAATCACACATTCTTCCTTTCTTTTCAAATAACTTAAACATTTTTATTGTCAATTATGATTTGGTACTTATTTTGGGGAGAAACTGATAACTATCTATTTAAAAATTGAAGATTTTCTTTATACTGTTGTGGATGCTATGCTCAGCCAGTTAATGAGATAATTTAATAACTTAAATGATAATTCCAGAATAGATTAAACTTATTTTAATTCACAATAATAAAAAAGACGTTAGGGATACAGCATCAAAGCGAACTCTTTTTCATTTTACGTTTTTTCTTGTTGCCACTCTAGAGAAACTAAACTTCGCAACAACAAAGACAATGTTATACATAGCTGCTACAATATCTCATGGGAACATTTTTCTGCTCAAACTTTTCTTCGCTCAATCGTAAGCCTTCACTGTGTTATTTATTAACAATTAGCAGCATTTAACATAGAATTAACTTGCAGGACTTTCTAAACCTGGTAAACTTAATTTTAAACTTTATTTACTAAATATTCATCACAAAGCATACGTAAACGGTAATAATAATAATAACGCGAAAATGACATTGAAACTTATGTTTATTTTCTGTCTGAAATTTAAAGATTGGTATCTATAAGTAATTTCTGTTGATTATACTTTGTAATTCAATTGTATTAACAGCTGCAACAAGACTGCCCCCCATAGCAGCCCCCAAAACAAATTTTCAGACAGATTTTATTTCAAACCTCTCTGATATGTTGATTTAACCGTTAAGTCACTTACTTAATTTAAAAATAGGCAAATTACGATAACTTTCTAACTGGTATAAAATTTAAATAATAGCAGTCTTTTCTTATTCTTTTATTTGCTAAATTGTTCTTTGATGCATGCAGAAAAAATATATATGTATGTAAAACAATTATAAACTTTTTTATTTCTTACTATAATTTTCAGCTACAGTACCTTGTGGCGTTCTAATTTTGATAAAGTTTCTTATCTTCGACAAAAAACTAATGAAGATAATGCTCATCAATGAACCCGGTTCCTTTCTTAAACTAATTAATATTCATCTAAGAAAAACACTTTTCAGATATTATATACTTAAACAAACAAAACGATTAATCTTATTACAATAATTTGTAACTGAGGGTATTTATCTTTTGACAAGTATAGAAAAAAGTTAATCAAATCTGTATGTTCAAATCTTTAAAGAAGACTTGTATCACAGTGTAAATTAATTAGCTCTATATGTAGATTTTCTGTGGCATTTCTCATGTGTTTTCTTAACGGGAATAAAAATAATGTAAATTTGGACTTCAAGCTAAGTCTTAAACATCTTCTTCAATTTCTTGACATAGTTAATCTCATAATAATGTTAATTAATTAAAGGAAATATATTCACGAGAAATATAAAATTGCGTAAGGGGTACCAATTTTAGGCCAATGTCTGAATATTTATTTAAACAATAAAATTTAAATTATATTTTTTCTCTTTCTTTCCTACATTGTTTCTTTAATTTTATTATATGATCGAATTTTATGTCACGAATTTGTATCCTTTCAGTTCATTAGTATAATTTGTAAAAATGTCTCGAATAATTGCGAAGAAGATATTACTGAAACCATTCCTTCCGTACCATTGATTTCCGTGCTATGTCGGTTGTAACATATAATTACAAGCCAACGAATTTCTGTTGGGAGAGGAAAAGCTCATTCGTAAACCATCGTCTGTAATTACAAACCTCATTATATTCGTCAAACTGCTGATATTGAGTAAAGAAAGAATGGAGTTTGAAAGAGAAAAATAATAAGATTACTACAGAGGAAAGCCTCAACGAAGCGTTCTCGAATTCCATTCATTAAGTGTGCTATGATTTTCTTTTTCTTATCACTTCCTGTTAGAGGAAGTTTCTTCTTATTTTTTATTTATTTTTTTTTTCCTCTCTGCTTTATCAGGTACATTGCGGAAAGCGGGCGGAAGCGACGGCAGGCTGGAAAAGGAGGCCGAAGAGAAGCGAAGTGGGAGCCCCTCTCTCTGGCGACTCCTGTGGCAACCCGGATGGCATCCCAGAGGGGGGTCGACAGTCATTCCCAATAAACTTTCCGATTTCTCTTCAAATATGGGAGAGTCAAGCGATGGCAATGGAGAAGGTCATGGGTGCGAAGGTGGACCAACTGATGAAGGTCAGATGAGACGTTTTTATGACTTAAAAATATTCTAGTTTCTTCTAGTATTTACTCTGAAAACGTTTGCTAAAATTGGAAGCTTTCTGGAAAAAAGATTTTTTTTTTCTCTCTTTTTGGTGAGGTAGTTGTAAAAGTGTAGGAGAAATACAGAAGAAGCCTTTTTTTTCCCCCTAACAGAATTTGCGACAAGTTCTAACTTTACAAGCTTCTTCGAAAGTTTTATTTCTGTAAATATTAATCTTATACTTGTATTTTAATTACAGAATTTTTCAAAATTAGATGGACACTTCTGAGAACAGCTTCCACACTTTAAGTGGTAAAGTTCCATAAGTAAAATGCCTAATTTTACATAGTACTTCTACAGCAAAAATATGACACAATAAAACATTCATGCAAAAACGGGGCACAAGTTCTGTTCAATAAAATGGTTATTTAAAACCCTTCCAAGATTTTTTTATTGTTTTATACATAGCGATAATTCGCTATCTGTCTAGCAAGTTTTCAGAACCAAAGTTCCAGTATCAGGCTAAATATAGCTTTATAAATTAAACTGCATCATTAGAAGTAAGAAAAAGCATACTAGGGCTATATGCCTAAGGGAAGACTTCTTCAAAAAAAAAGTACTTAAATCTGCCTGACATTCCCGTTACGCATGGGTAAAACCATTAAGATTCCCTTGAAGTCAGAGTGATCTGCCTAACGACGAGATGTGCTTGTGGAGATTTTTTTAAAGAAATATTCTTCATCCTAACTTCTTACATATTTACCCTACATGTGGAGGAAACTATGAATACTTCCATGCAGCCAGTCCATACGATGGAAGCTACATCTGGGCCGAGTTACCGAGTTTAAGGCCAGTGCAGTATTCTGGTTGGTTGACATACCAGAATTTTGATGACAGTAAGGATAATTACCTATTGCGAATACAAATGTTAATGCAGCATTATACATTTTAAAGTCCTTAATCGCGGAAATAACGTTTAAACACAGAAAGCTAGAGTTGTGGAAGATAAGTCTATGTGCAGTAAAAAGAATATGCTGTATCATATTACAACGATTGAATGACACCTAAAGTTGAATTTTAGAAGCTAGCGATCCAGTCGAGAAATCTGTAAGAAACAGCAAAGCAGAGTTGTTGAACGTGTTGAGAATCATCGATTTATCATGAAATGACATCCTACATATATCAAAGACATGAATTTAGATGTGAGCGATCGGATATGCAGATGCACTGAAATTCAAATTTGTTGTTATTCGATAACTGGCATGAATATGCCATTAATGACATTTGCAATGCTTAAAATATTTAAAAGACGTTTTCATCAAAAAAAAGTAATTAATGAATTACAGCAAGTGATGAATAACAGCAAATGGAAACACTACATCATGCGTCGCTGAGAAGCATAAACTGGTAGTCAGCTACGGTTTGCCAGACTTTTCGCGGACTGAATCGTCAAATATGGCTAGTGGTTAGTTATACCAACAAGGAGTAATGCGAGATGTTTTTATTGTACGATTTATGCGGTTGTCACGAAAGAGATAGAGAACGGCAGTATGCATTCCGTTTCCCTTATTAACAGAATTTTTTTTTTTTTCTAATTTCAGTTTATCAGCATTTTTTTACTGTTATTGTCCTATGGTTATATTAAAGATGCCAGATGAAACGTGTAGTGGAAAAGGTGTCGTCATGGATTTTAAGACTTTGAAAGTTTTGAAAGGGAGATAGATTTTCGCCACAATTTTAGTGATAATAAGTAGACTGACAACATTGAAAACGCTACATTGAAAACGCTAGAAGACTTAGTGACAACAACGATTGTTTCCGCAAACAAAATATGCTCTTCTTATTTTTTTGTCGCCCAGCAGTTGCCGAGTGATAAAGTCACTGAACACTGGTAATTCGTCCCAGTTGAAATCCCAGGGAACGGGCTGACTGCATGAGCATTTCCATGGTTTTTACCATTTCATTTCATCATTTTCATCATGTGTTAAACATGGATACGAGCCACTTTCCTTTTACTTCAAGAAGGCATCTTTGCCCTTAGGTAGATAGCCCTCTTGTGATTTACCATAATAAAACAAATCAAACATTATTTCTTTGTCTCGGCCATGTACTATGAATACTATTAAGTTCCGTCAACAAAATAAAAATTTGGTTGCCTTGAAATAATGACTGATGAAAATTTGAATGCCGGCATATATGTTCAGTGTGCATTGAAAGTTAAAGAAAGAAGAATCGAGGTAAGTCCTAGAGAGATATAGTGTAGATAAGATTACAATTATTGACGTGTTACTTAAAGACTAAAAAAAGAGTTCAGTGAACTCTTCGTTCTTATTCTTCAAATTTCAACAATCTGCTTACTCATTACAATATTCTGCTTTACTTCGAGTCAATAGCTTATTTATTTATTATTAGATTAGAAAACATATGCGATTATCGATTACAGCTATTTGCTGAAAGAGAAAAGATGTCATTTTGGAAGATTTTTAAAGAGAAACCATTTTGTATTCATCTACGTGGATACTTCCGAAAAGTATGAAAAAATGACGCTTGAAAAATCAGTCCATCGCCATTTGAACTCTTGAGGCGATTTACTATCGCTCAACTGTCTTTCCACTTGACCACTGGCAGGCGTATTCCAGTCCAGTCCTTATTTAATTTCTGAATCTGGGGTCTTTTGCATCCCCTGGCTTAAATCCTAGATACGCCTGTGGTTCTATTATTCATGGTTCTATTGCATATAAATTTTCTGAATTGTTGCTTAAAATAATTACGCGTTGCAGGTTTATCGTTCAGACTTTCAAACTGATTTGGGTTGCAGAAAATGCTAGCTAATTATCTAGGGCTTAATGCCTAGCCTTCTTTTTTACTCAATTTAGAAAGATATATGTGCCAGTGCTACATGCCAGTCCAGATACTCTCTGATCATGAGTAGCTTGACTTGTTGGAAACTGTTCAAAAACTGAAAACTCATGTTGTCTGTAAGATAACATACAAATACACATAATGCTAAATATGTCCTTTTTTCAGCTTTTGCATCTATTTTCCAAGTTATGTGAACGCACTAACTTTATTCTAATACTTGATTATCAAATTTAGTTGCAAAAATAAACTATGAAGAATGTTATTTTGTAATTAAATTCATCCTTATTATGCGTTATTTTATACTCATGTGTGTAGTATAGGTGATTAGACAGCAATTAGGCAAAGGTGTTTCAGTTTAGACAGAATTTCCTCTGATGTACAGCATAGCTTGTACAGCCTATTAGGTTTCCGAAATGAAAAACATGAAAGATCAGTTATGTCGTTACTCTCAAAACTTCCGACTTCCAGCCGGACGGGCTACCAATTTCACTACGATAGAACATACGGCAATAGGTGAAAATTCCTTATATTCTCCCCCACTAAAAGGGCGATTGCGAAGTGGGAGCGAGCCCCAGACGGCCGAATCGGGGTGGTGATGAATTATCAACCGCTGTATTTTATTCAGGCTTCCCTTTAGACTTGTTAGGTTTATTTCGGAGCAGGATATATAAAAGTCAACTGTGTGCTAGATCGAACTTGACTTATAAATCTTGCCGTTGCTAACCGGATGTACTGTCAGTGACATCATGAGATCACGAAGCCAAATTAATTAAGTAAAGGGGTGTTAAGAATTTGCACCATCACGAAAAGTTTGGCGTTTGGATTCTGGACTAGAATTTTGTTACATTGCATTACAGGTTTAACATGTAAAACATAGTCGAAAAATTGACCCATAGAAATCAAAGAAATTAGAGGAAAAAAATTTGAAATTAGCGGCTTTATCTGATATTTTCGGAAAAATATAATGTTCGAAAAATCTCAAAATCGCCTAAAGAACAACACGAGATAAATTACTATCTTAAATATTTTCCTTGAAAACAGGCGACAGAAGTAGTGCAGAACTAATTAGTGTACTAGAATTTTAGCAGCAGAAACTTTTACTTTTGAGTATTTTGATACAAAGGTAAATAAGTCTTGGCGAGTTTTAGTATGTTTCTCAGCTTATTTTTAGTGTCATCGCACTGTTTAGTTATGGAAAACATCGTCACATATTAATCATTAACCTAACATTTTGAAGTATCTCAAAAAACAGTATATTTAAAAGTAAGTTAATTACCTACTGATTTTTCTGCAGCTCAGATTGAATAAATACATAAATACTTAAATAATTAAATAAATATAAACTAAATTTAATCAATTAGCGAACAGTGAAAAATCTCTGAAATAAAGCTGATGATTGTTCTGTTATAACAAGTTTATGGAAATAAATTTTAATTCTCCTTTCAGGCATGTATTTACGAGAGTTATATTTAACTGAAGAACATATTGCAGTATCGCACAGAAAATACATGTAAAATAAAAATTCCCTTGAAAATCTAACGGAGTACTGAACTCCCAAAAATACCTCTTTCCTTTTCCTTTATCTTTTGCGAGACCTTGATATTGTTGAACGCGCACGAAGATATTGGGGCTCTGTACCATCACAGAAGTCTCAACAGTCTAATCACTCGTCTAATATAAAAAATGTGAGAAAATACATTTAGGTTACAAAAAATTGCGAAAATATCTATATCAATTATTTTAAAATGAATGCGAATATTTGAGTTAGTTTATAGGCATTTTCATGTTTTTTTTTTCCCCGTGAGTAACCTGAATACAAGCCAGTATCATTTAGAAAATCTTTCAACGGGGCATTCCTTTCCTTATCCCACAACTGAATGTAAAATTTTCGAAAAAATCTTTGTTTGCAGTTATACAGACATCACTTTTTTTTTTATCAAAATAGTTAGTGTAAAAATTAAAAATAGAAAAAAATCTATCTAAGCATTTGCAGATTTTCATGTAATATAAGTAATCTCTGAGCATATATTTAATATATGGAGCATAATCTAACTACAAAATTAGCTTTCTTCCCCAGCCAACACGAGCTTTTCTTTCTTTCTTTCTTTCTTTCTTTTTTTTTTCTTTTTTTTTTTTTAATACAACCGTTTTTAGAATGCGACGTTTACATTTATGTAGGATGACATCGTCCACGACGGATAGATGGCGCTCTACGCTGTCCAACCGAACTGTTCGTAGAAGAGGCCGTTATGAAAAAAAGACGGGCGAACAAGATGTTATGTACTATAATGATATAAAAGAAGATGACATCTGTATAATTTCATGTTCCTGTTTCATCTAGTGTGTTATTATCATTTTAAAGGCTTCTGTGAAATGAGTTCTACAAAATGGGATTCCATACGTAATGAAATCTGTTATCACGCTTTACCATCTCATGTAGTCATCTGTAAATTTTGCCGTCTTTCACCTGCGGAAAAATTTAAATACTGCTTGCTCACAGAAATTCTACTGCTAATAATTACACCTGTCTTTCGATACCATATTGGAATAGAGGAATTTTATTTTATCAATTAATGTTTGGAAGAAATCTGGCTTATAGGATATTCCAGTAAGAAGAGGAGTCTGTTTACTTGCATTTTGTTTTTAGAATGTAAAAAATACTTATATAGTCAAAGAAGAAAAAATGTAAATTTCCGATATCATTCATTTTATGTGCTTACATGCCGTACATAACTACATCAAAGTAGTTCATCATCTATATATTGCATTTATTCTAAATGAGCAAAAATTACACAATACTTTACTGCAATGATTTGCAGCAGACGTTCTTGTGATGTAGCGGATATGCGTTGTATGTATAATAGTTTCTTTGACGAGGGAAAAAAGTTGCAATGATCGGATTTTGTTGACCTGTGAGGGTAACACCACAGTACATAATGTTTCGCAGCACTTAACCAATCAACCAACAAGAAATAATTACGTTCAAATAGTATGCTGAATGATCCCTTTAGAATATTCTTTTATCTTTTCTTTGTTAAGGGATGCATAACCTTATTTTGTATCGTAAGAAATAACAGTATTGTAAGGAAATCATAAATCTTCTTTTCGACCACCGTATCTTCCTTTAACATCCCCTCCTTAAGCAGACAGTCCTTGGGTACTTTCTCTTTTTCTAATATTTTAACCTTTATGCAATTCGCATTTTCTGTAATTTTTCACTCTTATTGTCGGTTAAAAAAACTGTTTATTTTATGAAAACTGTTATGCATCTATAAGTCATCATTCCAAGCAGAGAAATTTGTAAAATAGAATAAAGGGGAAAAAATTAAGTCTGCGTTTTTATTTCAGCCGGATTTGTTTCTGCATGAATGAGTAAATTTTTCAAATGAATAATGGCCTTTAAATATTTTAAACTGTGTTTGAAACCATGTATTAAAACATAAAATCACTTTATTGCATTTACTGAAAATTTATAACGTTACTTTAAGTTACTTTTCAGAACAATGAAATTATATTTTGCGGGAATTTTAAGAACAGATAGCACGGCTTGTGCGCACTTGTGAAATGTTTTCCAGAGATAAAATGTCCTTCCTTTTAAGTCTTGGAAAACTTGTGATTCGGTAAGAAAAATCGTTGTTTATATTGGTACTAGCGCAGTAATCTTCTGTCACTAACTTTCGAATCCCCGCTTTAAAATTTAATCATTGTCAAGACCGATACTGTGACATCGAGCAGTATTGTCCATTAAATTTGGAAGCATCACTGATGGATCTAGCACGACCAAAGAGAGATCCAAGGATCTCATCCCCCTACCTTTTATCCGAAATATTGCAGATTATGTATAATATAGGTCCGTTCGTCCGCTTACACTTATTCGCGCCCAAGCCATCAGTTCGTTACCTCAGTTTAGTGATTCTTTGTGCACAAAATTGGAACTAATCTCCGTGTTATGTTCTATCAGTATGAAGATATGATGATCATCAAGCTCCAAATTAAAATATGATTCTTCTATGAACAGAACGGACCCCATTACCGCATTTGGGGCTGCAGACACCATTTCCAGCAGCCCTCAAATGCGATATTCATCTGTCCGGTTCCTATGCACTTTATGGTGTCTTACATTTAAGGTAACGCAAGCTACAGGTCTCGTACATTCAAGATATTACAATTCTGGGAATTGTTACAATGCAGATTACTGTACGGGATGCGTATGCTGTTAAAACCAATAGTAAGCAAGAAACTTTTCGCGTAGTGCCTAAAGGCGGAGCACGTAATAATTTTTTAAAAATATGTTTTTACAATGCTATTCTCAAACCTGATAGTTTCCTTACTCGTAAAATAGATGCGTAAGTATCATCGCACTCAGTTGCAGTTAAATCATTCAAAAAGTCCACAGAAAGGAGCAGTATTAAAAGACGAAAATTAAGTGCATGAGGGATTTTTCAAATGTCTATGGATTAAAGTCGCTTTATTCAAACTAAACGAATAAGCACTCACGACTAAATGCACGAGACTTTCATAGTAAATGGAAAAGTCAATAAATACAACACTAAATGCTTAACGCTTATGTTATATCTTTATATTTGCTGAACGTTACCACGAAAGAAACTTTCTTTACCTTAGGAAATAATGCTTAAATGGATACAAAAGCATATGAATACATCTTTGACAGATGGAACAATAATGAAAATAATGAGTAACAATAAAATTGCAACTTATTAAAATTGTGAAAGAGAAAACTGAAGTTCCCTATTCTTTTACTGGTATAAATTTTTTTAATTTATCACGCGGCCATTGTAATAGGGGGACCGGAAAGCAATATCGCTTTCTTGCATTAAATTCACATGAAAAAAATTTTAACACGTTTTTATTTTTAATCAATAATGTGATCACCCTCGTTATCAATAACCTTTTGCCATCTGGTGTGCAGATTTTCAATCCCCGCACTGATATAAATCAATTGGTTTTTGAGTAAAGTATCTCAAGATGGCATTTTGGACATCATTCAAATTTTCAAATTTTTCGGCACTAAGAAAATGTTGTAGGGATCGGAATAAATGGAAATCCGAGTGTACGATATCGGGCGAGTATGGTGGGTGATGCAGTACTTTCCATCCCAATTCATTCATTTTTTCCAGTGTCCGTCTTGCATTATCGTGTTGCAGAATGATGCCTTTTCTATTGACAATCGCCGGATATTTTTCGATTAAAGATTGGTTCACTCGATCCAATTTTTCACTCGATCCAAGATCTGCATTAACAGTTTGTCCAGGTTTCAGCAATTCAAAATGAACAATTCCGCGAATACTCCACTAAACACACAGAAGCGCCTTTTGGGGATGTAAACCCTTTGTAACCCCTATTAAAAGTGCCTTTTGCGTTTTGGGTTATCAAACGATCAAAAAAAGGTTCTGTATGATGGTGTCGTTGAAGCAATACGTCGCATGTGATGGATCGGCTAACTTTGTTCTCTTCGGACAGATTATGCGGGACTTAAGCATCTGCTTTGCTTATTTTTCCATTTTGCTTTAAATGTTCTTGGATGGTCGATCAAGGTTGGTTAAGAGAGTTTGAGATGGATTTGCTTCCACTTCTGCCCTTAGCATGTTGTTGTCGACATGCGCAGAAACTACATTACTTTCCGGTTCCCCTATTACCGGATAGTTATTCTTATATTATTATACTATAGTATACCTATTCTTATTATACTATAGTATACCGGATAGTTATTCTTAATATTTATATATGCAAATACTTTAAGTGAAATTATGTGGAATTTGTATTATCTTTTGTATAATTTAACATGAAACACCTCAGGATGCCAAAGCAACGCCGGAAAAATAAGATTACACTGTTTAGTTTATTTAACACAGAAGTAAATGGCTTTCTTTAATAGCCACTTTGGCAAGATAAGGCCAAGCTGCCGATGGTTTTGACGATTGATTTTTGTAACCAAATTATATAAAAAGTCGCCAAGTCGCCAGGTTTGGCGACCATTTGGCGACGTTTTTGTTCACTTGCTCTATAACTAAAACTAGTCCGATCTGTATGTATCTATACCCAATCCTATGTAACTGTAACTGTGTATGCTTTCTAGCAATTTTAAAAAATCAGAGGTACTGGAAATTTCTCGGCGGACGGGGGGGTGGTCTATCTTAAGACTAGAAAAAAGCATCAGTTTTCAGTTTAATTCAGAGTTTAGCTTAAAATATTGAGAGATCACTGTGCGGTCTTAGGGATTTGAGGCTTTTCATATTGCCTTGTGAACCTTTTTTAGAAAAGTGAATCAAGCTCTCATCGTTTCTGTGCCATTCAATTCATTATGAACCTGTACGCAGTAAGTAGCACGGTATTACGTCTCTCAGTTAGGCTCTGAATGATTAATAAAGTTCTGCTTCAAATTTAGAAACATCCTTTATTTATATATATATATTTTTTTGCTCTATTTCTTTGTAATATGAGACACACTTCATTGCTTTTGTGTCTTCTTTCATTGAATTGTTTCATTATTTGAATAGCATTTCACTCTGACATAATTGTTAAATTTTTAAAATTAACCATTTCATCAACTTTTGTTGTTATAAAACATCGATTTATGTAACTGTGAATTATGAGTGAATTTGTGAAATTTAATCACATATACTTTTTTTAATGAAAGATGGCTACAAAACTTATTTGAATGAAACAATAAGTTCTAAGAAAGCAATCTAGAAATTTCAGGATACGATTTTTCAGGTAGTTCTCATTGCAATAAAAAAAATTCCAAAATTTATTATAGTGGAGATATGATTTGAATAAAATTTTACTGTGCCATAAATTTTTTAATTTTTTTAATTAACCATTCATCAAATTTTTTTAAAGATCGATTTTGTAACTATGTGAGTAAATTAGTGTATCTTAATCGCATATATTTTTTTTAACAAATGATAGCTGCAACACTTCGTAGATTAAAAACTACGATCTAATTCTAAACTACTTTGTAGAGACATTAGGTATTTTCGAAGCTAGAAAGATGAAAAATATGCAATGCTTTCGCCGGGAATCGAACCGTGGACCTCTCAATTACGCGCTGAGTGTGCTGACCAATACACCACGAAGGCTCGCTAAGAAGGCGAGAGAAATGCCTTATATATTCCCCCTTTTAAAGGGAGAGTGGGGTTTTTTAAGGAACCCAATCGCCAAATACTGGGTGAGGAGAATCATCATCCAACACCCTTTTAGTTCGGGCCTCACTACAGAGACATTTGGTATTTTCGAAGCAGGAAAGATGAAAAATATGCAACCCCTTCGCCGGGAATTGAACCGCGAACCTCTCAGTTACGCACTGGGTATGCTGACCACTACACCACATAGGCTTGCTAAAAAGGCGGGAGAAATACCATATAAAGTTTTAAGAAAATTTAGAATACGATATGTTAGATGGTTTTGTTGCAATAAAAAATTCTAAAAATTTATGTAATGCCGTTATTATCGAGAATTTTATTTGCAGTCTGATTAAGATCCAGAGAACTGCGTGAGATGATTTGCAAACTGTAAAGAGAAGGTATTAATTTTTATATATTTCAAACTCAGTGTTTGAAATCATATTTCAAAGCAGACCGTGTTTTTTTTTCTTTCAATTTAATGCATTTAAGGCATTTGACATTACTTTCAGAACCTGAGAGTGTCCAATCACTCTTTTAAATTACTGTATCTAATTACTGAGGCAGTGATAACTTTTTGGCTTTTTTAAATTTTTTTATTATTATTTTATTCAAAGCAAACTCGAACATTTTAAAAGCAGATGATATCGCCTCTTTAGCATGCAGGTTTTCATTTAGAACGACTGATAATATTTAGAAATCATTTTTAAAGTCCATGCCTTTTTCATTTAATCATTTGAGGTCTATTTCCTTTAGAAAGCAGTGATTGCTGATTTTTACCCCTTTGCTCTGAATTTTGTTGTTTATTATGCTATTAGGTATCTTGATTTTAAGGTTCTTAGATTGATCTTGTATTGAAAAATGATATTTGCCTTCACAAGGAAGTGTAAAAATATAGCCTGTGTTTACGTGAGCCATTTTGAATTCATATAAATATTTACGTGAACTCAAATGAGAAAAAAATTTTTTATGAAAATTTTTACTGCAGCCGACAATCATTTATCTCTCAGTACGAATGCAGTTGCCAATTAATTTTTTTAAATTCGTTAATTTCAATTATTTTATTTATCAACATCGTCGGAAAAAAATGAGCAAACTGTCTTTATAAGAGTTCTGT